ACCTGAGGATGCAATCAGACACTTGGAGGGGCCACTCTATGGACCTGGGTCTAATAACCCGAGGATGCCCCTCCTAGTGCCCGATTGCATCCTCGGGTTATCTGCAGCCCAGATTCCCCAAAGCTCTCTTGGCAATGGCTTTTGTGGAAGACTTCTCTACTTGACACCAAATGCCATGGAGGACCAAAAGACGAAAAGGTGCTCTATGGACCCGGGTCTAATAACCTGAGGATGCCCCTCCAAGTACCCAATTGCATCCTCGGGATATCTTCAGCCAAGATTCCCCAGAGCCTCAATGCTTTCTCTTGGCAATGGCTTTTGTGGCAGACTTCCCTACTTGGTACCAAAAGCCATGGAGAACCAAAAGAAAGGTGCTCTATGGACTTCCCTACTTGGCACCAAAAGCCATGAAGTACCAAAAGAAAGGTGCTCTATGGACTTCCCTACTAGGCACCAAAAGCCATGGAGGACCAAAAGAAAGGTGCTCTATGGATTACCTACTAGGCACCAAAAGCCATGGAGGACCAAAAGAAAGGTGCTCTATGGACCCGGGTCTAATAACCTAAGGATGCCACTCCAAGTACCCAATTGCATCCTCAGGTTATCTTCAGCCAAGATTCCCCAGAGCCCCAATGCTTTCTCTTGGCAATGGCTTTTGTGGAAGACTTCCCTACTTGGCACCAAAAGCCATGGAGGACCAGAAGAAAGGTGCTCTATGGACTTCCCTACTTGGCTCCAAATGCCATGGAGGACCAAAAGAAAGGTGCTCTATGGACTTCCCTACTTATGCCATGGTGAACCAAAAGAAAGGTGCTCTATGGACTTCCCTACTTGGCACCAAATGCCATGGAGGACCAAAAGAAAGGTGCTCTATGGACCCGGGTCTAATAACCTGAGGATGCCCCTCCAAGTACCCAATTGCATCCTCCAGGTTATCTTCAGCCCAGAATCCCCAGGGCCCCAACGCTTTCTCTTGGCAATGGCTTCTGTGGTTTATCAGTGGCAGACTTCCCTACTTGGCACCAAAGGCCACAGGTGCTCTGTGGACCTGGGACTAATTTAGAAAAGTAAGGTGAGGCCACAGCTCATGTGCTCAACAGTCATTGATTAGTCGATCCGTGTCATAAATATCCCCATTTTCTTTAGATTTGATCCTTCATGGAGGGGATACGGATGTGACTCTGAGATTAAATCTTCCAAAGTAATATACAGATTTTCAGAACAACTTAAATTGGGTTGTATACAGTATATCTCTGCTGGACAACTTTTGAATGACCCCCCATTGCCTGATACATTGAGGGTCCTGTCATCAGGACAAACCATTGCTGAATACACACAATGGCCAAACGTCTGTGGACTCCTGACCATCACACCTATATGGGATTGTTGGACATCCCATTCCAAAACTAACCAAAGCCTCACGTGTGCAGTCCCCCCTCCACCCATGGCCTTTAATATGAAGTCCCTGCACTCCCCCATGACCAGAAAAATGGAGTTCTCCTTCCGTTGGGGCTATACCATGCTCCACTCTCCTTTGAAGGCTTCCCACAGAATTTTGGAGGGTGTCTGAGGGCATTTGTCCCATTTGCGAGGTCAGGTTCTGATGATGGATGAGAAGATCTGGATCACAATTGGTGTTCCAATTCACCCCATAACTGTTCAGTAGGATTGAGGTCAGGTCTCTGTGCAGGACACTCAAGTTCCTCCACACCAAGCTGGTCACACCGTGTCTTTATGGAGCTGGCTTTGTACACGGGGGACAGTCATGGTGGAACAGAAAAGGGTCTTCACCAAACTGTGACCACAAGGCTGGAAGAGAACAATTGTCTACAATGTCTTTGTATAATGGGGGATCAGCAGAACCTTCACTGGAGACCTCTGTCCTCCATCATTGGAGGGTCCACATACTTTTGGCCATGTATGCATGTTTCGGTTTTGGTCTGGTGGTCTCAGAGTTTCAGCACATGAAACATCCTAATTTTCCACACCCCCACCAATTTATGTTCATCCCGTGCACCCCTCGGGCCTTGGTGTTAATAAGAAAATACGGAGCCAATCTTTCCCGGCATTCACCGAGCACCTCCTGGGCTCTAAAGCCAAACAATTCATTATGGAGGATCTCCTCACCAAATTCTACAGCTGCGGGGGTAATCTTCATTCCGCGCCATCACCTCCTCGGGGAGGACAAACGCCTGCACCTCCTGAGGTGGCTGCTCCCCATTTTGGCTGGTGTCGTGTCCATTGGCGGCGCTCTCCTCTGCCCTGGCGACAGGCGGCGACGGCGCAGGCTCCGCCCTGCTGCCGCTCCCAGCATCCTCCGCACCTTCCGCCAGCAGCTTCTCCCTGGTGATCATGATGAGCCGCGACAGTTCGGAGAAATTGCGTAACTGCTCCATGCTGGGAAGCCGCACCGGCCGGGTCAGGTCTACTTCGAGAGTCGGCTGTCCGGCCGGGACGTTGGGGTCTCCCTGAGAACAAAGAGAACAAATTCAGAATGTCCGCCCCGCACCATTAAAGGGCAGGTAAGCATGAGATAGAACGGGTGATATATAATAATAAGAATGTGAGAATAAAGTGGAACACTTATAAGCAGAGAACATACACGAGATGAATGTGCAATTGTAGGGAAGGTATTTTCTGGGTCTACAAAAGCATTGCGACCACCACCAAGGGATTAGTGTATGGCGGGTGCAATGCTCTGGCTCCTCCCATCCCTGTCCATACCGAGGTAAGGGCATTCCGCTAAGGGATGGGAGGAAGTACGAATGGACTCCAAGTGTCGGGACGTCACCGCGCTTGCATTCCTTTGAGAACTACAAGTCCCTGTGCTGCGCTGGCTGACGGGACTTGTAGTCCCTCCATTCACAGATCCTGTGACCATGTAACGCCCTGAATATGCGTTTAACATGAACTTTCACCCTTTCGCTGCCAATGATGTATGTCATACGTTGCTGGCAGCGGGCCCCTGTAAACTGATTCACAGGGGCTATAGCTGTCCTGGCTGTCATTTTAAAAAATGGCACCTGGGACTCAAGGGGTTAACCCTGGAAGTGAACCTGCCCCTTGCCCATGCATGGCATTGATCCTGAGTGCACATTGCACCAAAGGAATGACCTATTACCCGACTCAGAGGTAAGCTCCACCCAACACAAAATGAAGTCCCCCCCCCCAGGATTCAACAACCCAACGTGATGGCCTCAGTAGGCTCTGGCATTGGGCTGCTAAATAATGGGAGGGGCTCAGAGCCAAGTTGGGTTCAAGTTCTGGTCTTAATACATTGCGTCTCACCGTTATTTTCGTGGTCTTGGCGGTCGTCCCGTGGAAACTCAGCATGACTATCTCCAGGCCGTGGCTTCCATAGGTGCCCTTGAAAAAGCCGGGCCTTACCAGGTCGTCCGGCCGGCTGGGCGGGTGGTATATCCGGCGGTAAGTAAGGCAATTGCTGTGAAGAGACACAAGAGGACGTCATATTTTTTAAGGGACCGTAATATACACGGGTACAAGTACTCCTAAGAATGAGATCCTATAGGTTGGACTTGATGGACTAATGTCTTTATTCAACCATTCAACCTCAAATACTATGTAACTATATCATAAGGAGAGGCCGCGCAGGCTCGTGAAGGGCTGGGATGATTTCAGGAAGCTATGTACAGACCCTGCCAGCTCCTCCCACCAACCATAACCTGCCGGCATTGCATAGAGAAGCACAGAGAGCCAGGGATGACATCACGGGACTAAAATAAGGAATGTAATGAAAAAGGGAAAAGTTTTATTTAAAAATGTCGTGGGGGGCAGGGGGAAGGCAAAATATAAACAGAATAAGCTGCATCCTTTAAAGCAGACCTAATACCTATAGAAGTTGCCTCCCTTGTAACGTTAAAGGAGCACTATGAGAGGGGTGCTTTTCACTCATCCTCACAGTTCTAGCCGACCTGTGACAATGAGACTGTCACAGGTCGGCTCAGTAGATCGGGAGGTGAGCGAACACATACCGGCGTTCGCTCACTTCTCTCACTGCAGAGAGCCGTGACAGGGGAGGGGCCGGATTCCCCCCTCCCAGCGCTGACTGGCGGAACGGACGGGGGAGGGGGCGGGTACAGCTGGCTCAGCCTCTAGACAGGCAGAGCCAGCTGTCACTCACGCAGCTGGGCGGATGCAGACATAATTGTCGGGATCCGTTTCAGCTGCGGCGTCTCAGTATACCGCGAGCTTTAGCCCGCTATATACTGAGCTTCGGATGACGGGAGGACGCTAGTTTGTGTCCTCCGGTTACCCTTAGGAGAACTATGGGGAAAAGCCCTGACCCCCCATAGTTCTCCTTTATTGACAAGTCCCCATTGAGTCGTACACCCAAACAGCCACCAGGGGGAGCTCTGACAGAGCTGTACATGAAATACAACCATGAAGATATGAAAGGGAATGACCAATCAGGAACTCCCTTTAGGTAAACCTTCATAATAGCTGCAAATGTGACGCGCTGATAAGGTGCCGCCGTCCCCTTTTAAAACCCTGAGCCGTCAGCCAAAAGAAGATTTCGGATTGTCCCCCTCACTTACTCGTATTGGCAGATATAGATGAACTTCATCAGGATCAGCTCCTGCATGTGTTCGTGGAAGATATCATCCAGCGTCCTGCCCAGGTCATCTCGCAGCCACGTCCGGAATTCCTGCGGCAAAACAAAAACCAAGAGATCTTTAATAGGCCGACGCACGGAGATGGCGGCAGGCTGCTGACGGAGCGATGACAGGTCCTCCCTTACCTCTTGACGCCCTCCGGACATCCGGTGGTAGTCGGTCTGAAGGCATTTGGTGCAGAACTCGTCCTTCTTCACCATCTGCGGCGACAAGAGGCGATTAGTCGGCAACGGAAAGAATAAAAGTCATAAAATAAATCGGGAATTCTGATGCGGATTACTGGGACAGGAAACGTGTAGATAAAAAGACAAAACTTAATAGGAGAATAGGAAGGAAAACACACGTTTTATATGTATGTGCTCAGCTTATGGATTTATATTCACTTCCTGTCTTGGAGAAGGGGAGGGGAGAGAGAGAGAGAAGGGGGGGAGGAGGGAGGAGGGGGTAAGGAGAGAGAGAGAGGAGGAGAGAGAGAGAGGAGGAGAGAGAGAGAGGAGGAGAGAGAGAGAGGAGGAGAGAGAGAGAGGAGGAGAGAGAGAGAGGAGGAGAGAGAGAGAGGAGGAGAGAGAGAGAGGAGGAGAGAGAGAGAGGAGGAGAGAGAGAGAGGAGGAGAGAGAGAGAGGAGGAGAGAGAGAGAGGAGGAGAGAGAGAGAGGAGGAGAGAGAGAGAGGAGGAGAGAGAGAGAGGAGGAGAGAGAGAGAGGAGGAGAGAGAGAGAGGAGGAGAGAGAGAGAGGAGGAGAGAGAGAGAGGAGGAGAGAGAGAGAGGAGGAGAGAGAGAGAGGAGGAGAGAGAGAGAGGAGGAGAGAGAGAGAGGAGGAGAGAGAGAGAGGAGGAGAGAGAGAGAGGAGGAGAGAGAGAGAGGAGGAGAGAGAGAGAGGAGGAGAGAGAGAGAGGAGGAGAGAGAGAGAGGAGGAGAGAGAGAGAGGAGGAGAGAGAGAGAGGAGGAGAGAGAGAGAGGAGGAGAGAGAGAGAGGAGGAGAGAGAGAGAGGAGGAGAGAGAGAGAGGAGGAGAGAGAGAGAGGAGGAGAGAGAGAGAGGGAGAGAGAGGAGGAGAGAGGGAGAGAGAGGAGGAGAGAGAGAGAGAGAGAGAGGAGGAGAGGGAGAGGGAGAGAGGGGAGAGGGAAAGAGAGAGAGAGCCAGAGAGAGAGAGGGGAGAGAGAGAGAGGAGGAGAGAGAGAGAGAGAAAGAGAGGGGGGGAGAGAGAGAGAGATCACAGACCTGATTTTTCTTTACTGCGGTTAAGCAACACATACAGGTCTTGCCCCTCCCCCTAATTAATTTTCTTTCTCGTACCTGGATCTGTCCGCTGTGGGGCCCCTTGGGGCCGTACATACACTCCACGGTGGCGGTTTTCTTCTCCATGAGGTGGATGCGGAATACGGGTTTCAGCCTCATGGGCTCGTCCACATGCGGGTCGTGGGGAGGTAGGTACATCCAGCCTATGATGAAGAATCCGTCCACCTGCCAGATGGAAAATCGCAGTTACACCGCGCCGCCATCCTCGGGGAGTCACATGAACAACCATCACCCACACAAAGATGGGTCATTATATAAACCCGACCTCCCCTCCTCCGCTCGAGATTCCCATTTTGGGGGGAGATTTTTTCTATAAAGGGAACTCGGCCTCAGTCTGTTGTATTCAGATTTAAAGCGACATGCTCCCGTTTCATGGTCCTATTGATGGCGGTTCTGAACCAGGAGGCGGTGCCTGGATAACTCAGCGACCAACAGGAATTGAGCTCCGTTCTTTGTTTCGATGTTTGATGGCATTTTATTACGTCCTCCTATGCAGTCAGATGGAAATGATTATTTTATTGATACGATGTATGGAACGGATTAGTGTGTCGGGTCCCTTTAAGGCCCCTTTGTATTACTCCAAGTGTTGTAAAAATTATTTCCATTGCTGGAAGTCAGCAGAAAAACGGCTTCACGAAGCGCTGAGACCACATTAATATGGTGTTACTGCCCTTCCTCCTTCTCACCCTTCCCCATGGTCAGTAATATGAAGTTGCCACCCTATCCCTTCATGGCCATTAATATGGTGTTACTGCCCCTCCTCCTTCTCACCCTTCGCCATGGCCAGTAATATGAAGTTGCCACCCTACCCCCTTCATGGCCATTAATATGGTGTTACTGCCCTTCCTCCTTCCCACCCTTCCCCATGGTCAGTAATATGAAGTTGCCACCCTACCCCTTCATGGCCATTAACATGGTGTTACTGCCCCTCCTCCTTCCCCATGGTCAGTAATATGAAGTTGCCACCCTACCCCTTCATGGCCATTAATATGGTTTTGCCCCTTTCCCATGGCCATGAATATGGAGCTGCCGCCTCCCCAATGGCCATGAATATGTAGTGTCTGTCCTACCCCTTCATTAATATGGCTATACCATCCTCCACTCTTCTGGGAAGGCTTCCACAAGATTTTGGAGGTTGTCTGTGGGAATTTGTCCCATGTGTGATGGGTCCTGATGTTGGATGAGAAGACCTGACACACAATTGGCATTCCAATTTATCCCAGAGGTGTCCAGTAGGGTTGAGGTCAGGGCTCTGTGCAGGACACTCGAGTTCCTCCACCAAGCTGGTCACACCGTGTCTTTATGGAGCTGGCTTTGTACACAGGGGACAGTCATGGGGGGGACAGAAAAGGGTCTTCACCAGACTGTGACCACAAGGCTGGAAGATCACAATTGTCTACAATGTCTTTGTATGATGAAGTATTACCAGAACCTTCACTGGAGACCCCTGAACCCCATCATTGGGAGGGAGGTCCTCATACATTTGGCCATATTGTGTGTTTGCAGATGGTGGATATTCATCTTTACGTCTGTGGTTACCCTAATGGAAGAGGCACCATGGGGGGCACCATGGATTTGAAGGGAAGCTGCAGGTCCCAACATGCCCCAGCAGTGGTCATCCTCATGTTTTTTTGGCAGTGTCCATGTGGAATATTCGGACGGGTCTTCCAGTCTGGGCGTTGGGTGTCAGTCTCTATTTATAGAACGGTTTACTGTCACTTTGGTCATGAATGTCATTTACACTCAAAGAGGCTCAAGTTGGGAATAAATGAGCAAAGGAAACTGTGCAACCCTAAGAGACCAATCACATTCTTCCTTCCATCTGTTAACCCACCCAGGAAAAATATCCGCTGGCATCCGATTGGTTACTACAGGCAGCACCGGTAACCATGGCTGTCAAATCCTCCGCAGGTAGATACTTAGTCCTGTGGCAATTAAAAGGAGGTCATGTGATCCTTTCCTTGTGGCTGTTGGTATCATTGGAATTGGTCACATGATTTACCCTGTTTTTTTGCCGGATTGGGGTGGGCAGGGAGGTCCCAAACACCACCAATCTGGACGAAGAACAGGGCGAGTCATGTGACCGTACCAACAGCCACTAGGAAAGAGAGTCACATGACCTCTGTCAACTGCCACAATACTAAATATGTACCTACAATCTGGTACTCAGTGTGCTGATCGTACTTCCCAATTCAAGAATAGAAACACCCCTAGGCTCTCCCCTTCAGCAGAGATCATGTCACCGAATGGCCGGCACTGGTCACATGATTGGTTGCTGTAGGATTTTGCAGGTATTTTGTGATTAAATTTTTAGGGAGAGGGAAGGGCAGGGAAAAGGGGGTCCTTTGTGACACCAGGCCCACTTCTGTGATTATTGTTCCATGGATTCCAGATTAAATCCTAAATGAATGAGGTGATAAGAGTCTTTCTAGGCCACTCTGAAGATGACTCTGTCCACAGGGGACACATCTAGTTTTTTTGGGACAGAAAACAGACCGAGATCCTCCGGCATCCAAATTCAGCTCGACATCAAAACCATGCAAAACCGATAGGGCCGCCCTGCTCCTGCAGACTTCCTGGTGTGCTGGTCATGTGATGATGGAAGCTCCTCGTCAGCCACAGATCTCTGCCTGCCTCAACCTTCACGGGACTGCAACGTGAAATGAAGCAGCAAGCTCTCTCCGGACACTCTGGGAATAGTCAAGTACATCAATTTATGGAGGTAATCTGAGACCGAGGAAGGCCAGACGAGGAAGGGCAGACGAGGCAGACCAGGCGGGGACGAGGAAGGCCAGACGAGGGAGACCAGACGGGGACGAGGAAGGCCAGACGAGGACGCAGAAGGCCAGACGAGGGAGACCAGACGGGGACGCGGAAGGCCAGATGAGGACGAGAAAAAACAGACAAGGATGAGGGGGACAAGCCAAGGACGGGTAAGTCCAGGCAAGAACGAAGGAGCCCAGACGAGGAAGACCAGACAAGGACGAGGAAGGCCAGACAAGGAAGCCCAGACGGGGACGAGGAAGGCCAGACGAGGACGCGGAAGGCCAGGCAAGGACGCGGAAGGCCAGGCAAGGACGCGGAAGGCCAGGCAAGGACGCGGAAGGCCAGGCGAGGACATCAGCTACTCCGGTATTTAATGATATTAAGCTGAAATTGGATATTATTTAACAAATGACACAAAGTCCTCATTCACCTCATTACGCGATTATTAGATTCTACTGAACAGACCTCCCAGAGCTTCCTGTTCTGTATTATTAGCGTACATCGCTACAGCATATGATGGCTTCATACAACACATAACAAACAGGAGTAACAGCTCTTTTCAGACAACCCCAC